TCAGTCTTCACTTTCTATTCTCGATATATTCCAAACGCGTTTTCATGTGGGTGAAAATTTATTTCCCCCTTACAACCGCGCTATCGCTATTTCCATGGAAAGTGTTCAAATGAACTATACCCCTAGTCCTAATCTTCACGTCTAAGATCCGCCATGTCCTGCAAATTGTAGCAAACAACATTGTTCCCTTCGTATATCTTTAGTGAGTTCTAAGTTGCACTCGGGCAGTTTCTGCTCCCGAACCTGTGGAACCGACTGCCTAGAGAATGCTTCCCCGATCACTACAATCAGAACCTTTACCCTCCACACATATTCGAATAGGCTGCACCTCAAGGTGGTGTAATGGTTAGCAGACTTGTCTCGCTAGATTCATTACGGCTGAGTAATGAGTTCAATCCTCACTGGGTGCCACATACTTTCGGCCACGTACCACATCTAAGCCACGCTTCTAAGCGTGGCTTAGATGTGATACGTGGCCGAAAGTATCAATTTTTTGGGCACCTCGAGATGGTGTAATGGCTAGCAAGCTTGTCTCGCTAGATCCATTAAGACTGAGTAATGAGTTCAATCCACACGGGTGCCACATGCCGCATCTAAGCCACGCTTAGAAAATCAATTTTTTGGGCACCTCGAGATGGTGTAAGGCTTAGAAAGCTTGTCTCGCTAGAACATTTACGACGGAGTAGTGAGTTCAATCCTCACTGGGTGCCCCGTACCTTCGGCCACGTGTCACATCTACGCCCCGCTTGGAAGCTCACTACTCTGTAACAATCTAACTCGAGTCGTTGTCGGTTATTTAAGTAAAGGAAATCGAGAAAAATCTATCAGACAGAATACATGAGTTTTAATAGAATAGACTGTCCAAGAAACAAAGTACGTATTTGGGGATTCAAGATCTATTAGGTACAGATATTTAGTTATCTGGAGACGACGGAGAATGCGACAGAAAAAGCATAGGAATACTGAATTTTCTCTACAAGAAATTAAGCAAAGTATTAAGAGACAGGAAAATATATTTGAGATCAAAGAAAAAAGTTATGGTCTGCTATATGATAATTATCTCCTAGTAAATTGGTCAGTAAATACTGTTCAATCACATCACCGATAGAATAACAGGGACTTAGTAGTGGCAGAAATATAATTCTGCCTTTAGATAGTGAGAATACCAGAAACAGCATGTAAGTAATTTACCATTAGTTAGTGATAGTTGAAAGGAAAAAAATATGAACTGCATAAAAAACCTTTACTAACAGTCAGAAAGAGACAAGTGGAATTTACAGGGCTTATAATGAGTAAAGTGGGCTAGGATAATTTAACACTCACATGGCATGCTGAATGAAAAGAGAATCAGGGAAAAGTAAGCTATTTATTGGAATTGTGCTAATGGATGGAAGAACAAGAACACTAATGGCTGGGGTGGTAGCACCTGTTAGGGTCGAGGCTATGGCAAAAAGTTAACCCAAAACAGGGGTCAAAACACCATGAACTTATAAAACTAGATTTTTATAGTAAAATTACCAGCAATACATTTTTGCAAAAAAAAAAAAAAAATCTATATTCCAGTAATACATTTGACTCTTAACTGAAAATTTCCTTTAAAAAAATACGTCAATGAAACCTGATCTACAAACTGATTTCTTAGAAAGAATACATAATCTATTCATACGAATCTATTCTAAAAATATCGTCAGCATTAAATACCCCGATGAAGTGTTGATATGCCGTAAAACGAAATAAACCAAGTAGATGGCTGGTAAAGGGTCAAGTTATTTAGAGCAAGGATAAAGAGGAAACTGTGGTGAGCCATGATCATCTACGTCTTGAAAGACAGAGAAAATGAAAGAAGGAAAAAAATGTCCATGTTAGACTGATTCACAAGAAGAGGAAATGTCATTTCAGATCTCGTTTGAAGAACGTATTTTATTTCTGACCAATGAAATGAGACAACTGATTAAATGTCGTAAATTGTCAAAATAAATAAATATAATTGTTGTCATTCATTCCCTCATTAATTCCTTCGTTCATTGACAGTTGTGCAAAATGTACAACTTTCAATATCGTGACGAGTATCATGAACACGTGATCACAAAGCAAAAGAAAACGCTAGAAAATAGCGAAGCGAAAATCCTGTGGGATATTTCGATACAGACAGTGACAAATTTAAAGTACAATAAACCAGATGTAATCCTGCTGGACAAACGAGCAAGATTTGCTTCCTGGTCGATGTCTCCTGTTCATTTGACATGAGAATTGAAAGTAAAGAAAAGAATTAGATCGACAACTACAATGATTTAAAGTATGACAATCTGGGAGTTTCCAGAGTTTGACCATGCAAAAAAAGGTAATTACAGTAACAGCAAGCATTGTAACCTAATGAGTTTGCGCAAAAGAACATAAAGAAAATCTCCATTGGTATTGGTTTGGGACTTGTAAATAGAGACATTACAAAAATCTTGAACAGCAAGTAAAGTATACGCTGTGAATAAAACGAATTATCGGTTTATTTTCTCAAGTCAGGAAAATGTCCTGAAAATAAACTTTTTACTAGTAATCAACATAATATTCCGGGCGTAATATAATTGTGCTTGGTCTCCATTCGCACGACCGTTACGCCCTGCCAATAGTTCATGAATAATGGACTATTGTGTTTGATCGGGTGGAAAGACGGAAAAAAAGACACTTCTTGATTTCGGTGGGGAAGTGACATAAATAAATTAAGAAAGAATGAAAAAGGGTAGAAAGAAAGAAAGAAAGAAAGAAAGAAAGAAAGAAAGAAAGAAAGAATGAAAAAGGGTAGAAAGAAAGAATGAAAAAGGGTAGAAAGAAAGAATGAAAAAGGGTAGAAAGAAAGAAAGAATGAAAAAGGGTAGAAAGAAAGAAAGAATGAAAAAGAGTAGAAAGAAAGAAAGAAAGAATGAAAAAGGGTAGAAAGAAAGAAAGAATGAAAAAGGTAGAAAGAAAGAAAGAATGAAAAAAGGTAGAAAGAAAGAAAGAATGAAAAAATGTAGAAAGAAAGAAAGAATGAAAAAGGGTAGAAAGAAAGAAAGACTGAAAAAGGGTAGAAAGAAAGAAAGACTGAAAAAAGGTAGAAAGAAAGAAAGACTGAAAAAGGTAGAAAGAAAGAAAGACTGAAAAAAAGTAGAAAGAAAGAAAGAAAGACTGAAAAAAGGTAGAAAGAAAGAAAGAAAGACTGAAAAAAGGTAGAAAGAAAGAAAGAAAGAAAGACTGAAAAAAGGTAGAAAGAAAGAAAGAAAGACTGAAAAAAGGTAGAAAGAAAGAAAGAAAGAAAAGAAAAAAGGTAAGAAAAGAAAAGAAAAGAAAAGACTGAATAAAGGTAGAAAGAAAGAAAGACTGAAAAAAGGTAGAAAGAAAGAAAGACTGAAAAAAGGTAGAAAGAAAGAAAGACTGAAAAAAGGTAGAAAGAAAGAAAGACTGAAAAAAGATAGAAAGAAAGAAAGAGAGAATGAAAAAAGATAGAAAGTAAGAAAGAGAGAATGAAAAATGATAGAAAGAAAGAAAGAAAGAAAGAAAGAAAGAATGAAAAAAGATAGAAAAAAGTGGTGATGGAAGTGTTTAACGTCTCCTGCCAGTACCTCATAGATAATGAATTATTCCGATTTGATCACATGGAAAGAGGGGAAAATACGCAACTTGGTTTCAGTGAGTAAATGAAAAAAAATAGAAAGAAATAAAGAAGTGAAGATAGAAATGTTCAATGACTCATTCAGTGAAATCGGAAAAGTTGTCAATTTTTAAATCGTTTCATTTGTACCAATTCTTAAAATAATGACCAGCTTTCATATTAATGATTGTTATTATAATATTTTGAAAGGTGTAAAGCTCAAATATTTAACGAAACGATTGTGGAATTTCTACGGATGTCTTATTAACGTGCAACTCGGCTTGAGCTTACTCATTCATTAACTTAAAAATTAAATTTCATCAAATTATTAAACCAGGAAAACCGTAAAATTTTCACGGGTTAAAACTACTACTACTACTACTGCTACAAATACTACTACTACTACTACTACTACTATCAATTATTATTATTAAAGTTTCTTATTGACATGACATTCCCTGCAGATTGTAATCAAAATATAAGGATCTTGAAATGGAAACCTCAAAAATGTCGCACATGAGGACATCAAAAATTCCCCTTGCAGCTGGAGCCCTTGGATTGACTAGAAAATGCTTCGACACACTCATCGACGTATTACGAAAACTTTTACCGATGTAAAATGTGTTTGGTTTCAGTTTCTTTTTTGTTTTTGTTTTTTGCAACAATGATTAGTGGAATTAAGCCATTTTCTTAGGTTAGCCTCTGGTTGGAAGGAAGGAAATGTGTATATATGTATACAAAAAAATCAAAGTAAATAATAATAATAATAATAATATATATATATATATATATATATATATTATTATTATTATTATATATATATATATATATTATTATTATAATATATATTATTATTATTATATATATATTACGATAAACGTGCAATCAATTTACAAATTCATGAATTATTCACACAAAAACAAATGCAAAGGTTAATGATTTAATTGGCGAGAAATCCATCATCGCAAACAATTCAAATAATATACAAAATTCGAATCCGTTATGAATGAAATGATCCTTGTTTCTATAAATTTCTGTCGTATTAGTTCTTATTTTTACTACATGCTTTCGTCTGTTCCTACAGACATCTTCCAGTAATTTACCAGTAAAAAATTCGTTCATCACCATATTTGTATTTGAACGCACAACCTTTAAAAATTTAAAATCAAACTCAGCGTTGCTACTGCGCGCTCCAAAAACAATAACTCATTTTCAATAGCATTTTCGGATACAACAATACATATATTTTCGTTGTCCTCTTATTAATAAGAGAAAAAACAAGAACAACATCTATTCTATACCTGAAGATGTCTGTAGATGATAATTCATGAATATATATATATATATATATATATATATATATATATATATATATATATATATATATATATATGTGTGTGTGTGTGTGTGTGTGTGTGTATCGTATTGGCTGATTACCTATTTTTTCTCGTGATAAACCCTAATGTATGTCCAGCTGACCTTTCATCTAGTAGTGGTCATTGCGACTTGTTCTTTTAAAATTTAGTATGGTCTTTTTTTGTTGTTTTTTTTTTTTAAACGAGAAGGAAAACTCCGTATAACAACCCGTCACTCAAGGTGTTAATCGTACCGAGGAGTGAATGGTTGCTGCGATATGAGGGCGCAAACGATCACCTACAGGCTTCATGTTTGAAGGTTGTAATTACAAACGAGATTTACATTTAGTAGATTCTGTAGAAAAAACAAAAGAGAACCCAACAACCAACTGATACAGTAAGAATTATGAAAAATAAAGCTAAGGATAGAGATCTTTCACAGATGAAACAACGCTGGCTAGACAAACCTCACCATGAAACAATATCCAGAACGAGGCTAATAAAGCGATTTTGATAATGTTGACATTCATAGATGGTTACGAGCATCTGGATTAAAGGCTGAAACGGAAGGCTTTATTTTTGCAGCACAAGACCAGAGTCTTTTCACTAGAAACTCTCATGCGAATATCATACATAATAGTGTTGATCCAAAAATGCAGGTTCTGTGACAAATATCAAGAAACCATAGATCATCTAATCTCAAGATGTTTTTTACTTGCACCAAATGAATATAAAAATCATTACGATACAGTGGGGAAATATTTAAACTGGACAATGTGCAAACACTTTGGAAAAGATGTTAACAAACACTGGTATGAGCATCACCCAGCGTCGGTTGCAGAAATAGAAGACATCACAATTCTATGGGATTACACCATCTTTACAGACAGGAAGATTGAAGCAAATAAGAGGGACATAATTGTCAAAAACCGGAAAGAATAAACCTGCCTACTAATTGATATGGCTTGCGCAGCAGACTGTAATATAGCAACCAAGAAATTTGAAAAAACTATCGAAGTATGAAGACCTGTGGAAATTTCAGACTATTATTTTTTTAGTGGCATGTATTCGGCGCAGACCCTCTGAGGCTGACCTTAACGTCAGATGGTGGACAAAATATGGATGTGGATTTTGATTGACTGAGACGAACGTGGGAATGTTAGAGTTAGGAAGTGTTTTCAGGAGTGAAGTTGTTACGTCATGCGCTTTTGACGTAGTTAATTCGTGTCTCGGGAAACGGCTCCCCAGTTTGGTGGGGGGTGATAGAGCGACCCCACCGGCTAGTTAAAAATGTAAACGTCGATGTGTTTAAAAAAAGTAATAAATCAAAATTTCTTTTGTCGAAGTTCTCCGAACAAACCAACTAGCAATCACACGACCGGGAGAAGACGACCAGAAGATAACAGAGAGAAGAATGCAACATATGGTGAATATAGAACGTTATCCAAAGACTAACCCTAGAACGAAAGGGGCTATACAACACCTGTGTTTATCTGTTTCCATCTCGAACGCTCAACCTTGTCAGGATTTTTTATCAAAAAATGATAATAACTAATTAAGAATGATTTTAATTCCAAAAGGTCAGTTACTGTTAATTGTGGCTGGGATTTGTACTCAATAGACTTTTACGCCAAAAAACATAATTTAGTCTGACACTAAAAACAACTATCTTTATCTGAATCCCTCCAATCTCACTTTGTGTCACACTCTCTTTTTATATCTATTTCTTTCTGTTTCCACTGCCTCTCACTTGTGCTACCCCTCCTTGGAGGGGTGTACGCGCATCATTTACCATCTCTCAGTTGCGTCTCTCTCCTTGGACAGAGTGCGCTCAGGGTCTTCTCTGTCTGAGGACAGAGGGGCAACTGAGGAAAATTATACTGAAGAGGTGCCCAGCCCTGGGGAACAGCTGCCTGAGGCCGCGCCCTCCCATTGCACCAGAGGGAGGGATCCGTGCTCGCACCGAGGCCAGCGCAACGGACGGTTGTGGGGGCTGAGGGGAATTTTTCTCCCTGCCCGGGTGTACGCGCTCGGGTTCCCCACATTAAACCGACCTTGTGTCACATCTCGTTCTAGGGGGGGCGAGTAAATATCGCTATGCCTCTCACTCTTTTTTCTTTCTTTTTTTTTTTTACTCTCGGCACCTCTAACATCAAGCGTGGAGCAAACAGAGATACAGGCGTATTACTGTTTAATAATAATAATAATAATAATAATAATAATAACGATGATGAACTGAGTTATGCGTTAAACAATGGTGACAGAGAAAAATACCAAAAACAAAACCTGGTTCAAATTAATACAAATAAAGCTTAATCTAAAATGTCTCATTTCAATCGAGTTGCCAAATTGTATCTGCTTTAGTAGGCTTGAGAGTAAAAGAGCCGATGGCAGACATCAGTCATGCACTGCGGGCTTACGACCACATGACATTGAAACACTGGATCCTTTACGATCACCGAAGTTAAGCAACGTCAAGCTTGGTAGGTACCTAAATGGGTGACCTCTTGGCAATAACATGTGACATAAACTTGGATGTGAGGGTGAAGTAATGGTTACGGGCTCGGAATTGATAATTGGAGAACCGAATTCTAATTCCCTTTGTGTTTATTATACTCACTTGCGCGCCTTGGAAAAGGCATGAATGTAACTATTCTCCCCCAGCTATGGATTAATTAGTAAGACATGTATTACGAAATCATTATTATTTCTAAAAACAAAAAAAATATATTCTTACAATCTTAAAATATATTCTGTCTTTAAATAACCTGCAAAGGGTTGATAAACCGTAAAAAACGAATCGATATTTCAATCAATCATCTATGCGTCTTTTCCTTTGTACAACTGTTCATCGGCTTCTTCACCTCATTTTTTTTTTTTTTTAAAGAAACGAAAAATTGTTAAATATCCCACATTTTATAACGAGGGCTATTAATAAAATTATCTCCTTCCGGTGTAGACATTCTTGCAAAACAATCGGGAAACATGACGTTTATTATGTTTCATATATGATAAGTTGTCGTCTAAATTACGCAAGAATGAAAATAACACCGTCATTTCATTTTAATCGATATATTTTCCAAAATTACACAAAAATACCTTGAAATACTAAAGAATAATTTTACTCAACAAATTAGCCATTGTATTCAACCACAGTTTCCAGACGATTTTAGAATCTCGTACATCTTTTCAGGGCGGTCTCATTTTGAAAAGATCAATGGAGTCATAACGTCACCACCACTAGTGATCCCTTTAAACAGATTCGGAATTAGATTCATCACTTTTCAAATCCTTAGCACTGTCCTCAGATTGACGCGCAAAAACACTGAAATGTTCGTATTGAAGCTTTCAGCACGAATGGCAAACAGTGCAGCATGTCTTTTTCTAATATCTGGTGGAGTGAGTTTCGTCATGATGCACCTTTTCTCACAGACGGTGCCCAACTAACCCAACTATATGTGCAGTTTGACAAAATAAAATAAAACCAAAACAAAAAAACAACGCGCATGCGGAACATTAAAAATATAAAATGACGACAATTTACCAATCGCACGATAACACAAAATGACTAATTCGAAAATCTGAAAAATCAAATGAAAAATTGATAGAAATTACTTGCCCGTATTATTTAACCAAATATGCTTGAGAGAATTATTTCTGCCGAAATACACCTTGTTATATATATATATATATGTTAGCTCTATCTCTGATATTGAGCGCTTTCTAATAAGTACCGCGCATATAATATATAAATAATTATACATATATATATATATTTATTTATATTTATATTCACTTTTTCACACATATATATATATATATATATATATATATATAACGTAACACATATATATATATATATATATATATATATATATATATATATATATATATATATATATATAACGTTATATAACACATATATATATATATATATATATATATATATATATATATATGTGATAACGTTATAAAATTTTATATATCAAGAACGATTTTTGGAGGCAAATATTTATGACAAAGTGGGAAAAAGTTTTCGTGTGACGCATTTCGTCGAGTAGGAGAATAAATTTACGTCTACGTTCTTACATCGTTTCACCATTTTTGGCTATTATCACAATATGGAATATTTAACAATAAAGATCATGGAAATGAAAATAAAAAAGACTCTAAATGAAATTGGTTAGATTATATATCCTATATATATATATATATATAAAATTTAAATATTTTTTCTAAATTTAAAATTCCCAGTGTCTCTCGTTCGTGTTTATGTACAGACGCAACAATGTAAACAAACGTAGTCTGATGAAGTCATAAGGAGGGCCGAAACGCGTCACACCAATCCTTTTTCCACTTTGTCAAATATCTTTCCTCCAATATATATATATATATATATATATATGCCAATATATAGAAAATAGGAAAGAACGCGTTAGGTAAATAATCCGAAGTTCTTTAGTATTTTTGTTTTTATTTTTAATAAGCAGTGCTCAATTTTGGATATTTCGCTTCAGGATGAAAAAGAGCTTTTGGCTCTTGTTTTCGAAACATGAGGACTCTTATGTATCGAGGGAATTATATTTAAAATAAATAATTATATATATATATATATATATATATATATATATATTATTTTACTATTATAGGGAGGACATAAAACAAATCGTCTTATATTTGTCGTTCCAGATGTATTTCCTTTTGACGTGGACGTGCTTTTGTGTCTATCATGATGTCTATTTCATAAAAAAACATTTCTTTATCCCTTTTCTCATTTTCGTTATCTTAACCTTGCGAAAGTTGGCTATGTAAAAAATAAAGCAAAAATAACATATAATCCTATAAAACAACATTAACGCATTCCTTTATTTCCATGACATTGGCATAAATGTCGATAATTTACATGTTCGTCTATGATATTTTCTGCTGCAATTGTAAGCAGACTCATATAAAAGAATAAATAAGCAGATTTTATTACAACATAGGAAATTAAAATTAATTAAATTAATGACAGATACATCGAAAAGACAATCCATAGAAATTTAATTTCCAGAATCAATAAAGGAAGAAAAACATTTTTTTCGTTGATGAAAGTCCAGAAGATCTCCGAAATATTTTAAATCATTATAATATAAAAATAGACTTAAAATATATTTTGAATATATTTTATATACGTTTTAAATATTTTAAATCATTATAACATAAAACTAGATTTAAAAAATATATTTAAAATATTTTAAATATATTTTAAATTGTTTAAATCATTATAAAATAAAATAGACTTAAAAATATATTTTAAATATATTTAAATTATTTTAAATATATTTTAAATATTTTAAATCATTATAACATTAAAACTAGACTTAAAAATATATTTTAAATATTTTAAATATATTTTAAATATATTTTAAATTATTAATACATAAAACTAGATTTACATTACATTTTAAATATTTTAAATATTTTTAAATATTTTAAATATATTTTAGATATTTTAAATATATTTTAAATATTTTAAATCATTATAACATAAAACTAGACTTAAAAATATATTTGAAATATTTTAAATATATTTTAAATATCTTAAATCATTATAACATAAAACTAGACTTAAAAATATATTTTAGATATTTTAAATATATTTTAAATTATTAATACATAAAAAGAGACTTAAAAATATCAATAAAATCTTACCGTAAGCGCCTCAGATTTGTGATTTTGAAGATTATCTTTAAAAAAGTAAACCGGCCGCTTCGTCGAGGCACATTAGTTAGCACATAAACTATCAGACGTTACTGGCTTTTTTTCTCAATGGTTGTTCAAAACATGCAACTTCTGTCACAGTAATTTAGGTTTGGTACGTTATTGTCGACATCTCGTGATCTGGTTATGAAATTATTCATTTATATAATTATTTCTCTCTGTCGGTCTTCCCTTGGCTGTAAATATTTGTTTGTTCTTACTGAATTAAGCTTAGTAAATACCAATGAACTTAAGAAATGTGAAAAAGGGAAAAGACGACTGTACTGGGATTTGAATCTAGAAATCTAATTTTGCATTGCCCTGCCGGTAGTTGCAAGAGTACGCAGTCTATGTCCGCTAATATTTATCTAACCAGAAAATTGATGCCAACTCACATTTAAACAATCACTATTCTCCTATCCTCAAACCACCTAAATAACTTATAAACCATATTTAAATGGCCAATATTATATCCTCAAAACAAGTTAATGATTTTAAACTCAAACTTAAACAATTATCATTCTTATATCATTCTTAGTCAAGTGAATACTTATCGATTAAAATTTAAATGATCACAATTCTATCCTCGAATGAAGTAAATGCTTATAGACGCAAGTTGAAACGACATGTAATCTTTTATCCTTGAAGCAATGAATACTTATAGACTCAAATTTAAACGGCCAGTAATCTCCTATCCTCGAAGCAAGAAAATGCATATAGACTCAAATTTAAACTGCCAGGATTCTCCTATCCTCGAAGCAAGAAAATGTGTATAGACTTACATTAAAACGACCAGTATTCTCCTATACTCGAAGCAAGAAAATGTGTATAGAGTGAAATTTAAACGACCAGTATTTTCCTATCTTTGAAGCAAGTAAATGCCTATAGACTGAAATTTAAACGGTCAGTATTCTCCTATCCTCGAAGCAAGTAAATGCCTATAGACTCATGTTTAAATGGCCAGTATTCTCCTATCCTCGACGCTGGTAATTTCTTATAGGAGAATAGTGATCATTTAAATCTGAGTTTGATTTAAATGCTCAGTGTTTTCCTATGATCGAACCAAGTAAATGCTTATAGACTCAAATTTAAATGGCGTGTATTCTATTATTGAACCATATTTGCTTATAGTCTCAAATATAAACAGGCGATATTTGGTTATACTCAAATCAAATAAAAGCCTATAGACTCAGCTACAATCAACCATTATATATCTATCCCCAACCGAAGTAAGTTCATATAAACGCAAATATAATCGACCAATATTTACCTATTTCATAAGTAAGCAAATGCGTATAGATTTAAGTATAAACGATACTAATCCATTTCGTTCATTTCCTGCTAATATACTTGAAAAGTGTTGGATTAGTCTATTCGTTAAATAACAGAGAAAATCTGGCCTAGAGACGGCAACCGGTCTAGGAGAAGGACAAATGGGAATTCAAGCCTGAAGAGTTAAGATGATAATGGACGGATAATCATCCTTCAGAGCTTCTGTTCCACATAGCAACAGGTCTTTGTAAGAACTGACCCTAGTAGAACTTACTCTTTACTAAAGGAATGCGAAGGGAATGTGGGTGGTTCGGTTTAATGTACGCGGCGAGGTAGGAGGGTTAGACTTAGGGAATCTATAGTATGTAACTTTTTTAATATATTCCATGCAAATAGCGGTAAAATAGTCAGAGTCTTCTAACGGTTTGTCTGTAGGAAAGGGGTTGTTAGGTGGAAAACAATTCATCATCCAGAAGGACGCGGATAGGTTTTTGGACTCTATCAGAACT